GGTACCTGAACTATATCTAGGTTTTTTTTGTCCCTAAATTTTTCTGTGTTTTTTTTTTTTTTTTTTTTTTTTTTTTGTTTCTCTTCATAGAGTTGAAAACATAACATCTCAGAAGAGCTTTTCAGACATGTCTGCTGCCTTTGTTAAAAATCTTTTTATGTGTTAATGTGTATTTTATTAAGGTAAGGCTAGACTTTAACAGCATTGGGAACCTGATCTTGGTTTCAAGACTTTTCTTGACTTTTGATTATTTATTTGATTGAAATACCAATTTCAGAGATACAGTTGTTAAAGAATTAATAATGCCAAACGGTGCTTGGAAAGTAATAACTTAATATAGAGAACTTGTTTGAATTATAACATGAACTCAAGGTAAGTGAAAATGTATATAATATATAATTTACTGTAAGTCTGTGACGGTTTGAATAGGAATGGCCCCCATGGATTCACGTGTTTGAATGTTTGGTCCAGTAGGGAGTGACACTATTAGGAGAGTGACCTTGTTAGAGTTGGTGTGTCCTTGTTGGAGGACGTATGCCACTGTGGAGGTGGCTTTGAGGTAGCAAATCCTCAAGTCAAGGCTCAGTGGCATCATACAGTTGTTGGTTTGTTTTTTTTTTTCCTGTTGCAAGCAGATGAAGATGCAGAACTCTCAGCTCCTTCTCCATCACCATGTGGGCCTGCATGCTGTCATGCTTTCCCTCATGATGATAGTGGACTAAGCCTCTGAAACTGTAAGCCAGCACCAATTACATGTTTTCCTTTATAAGAGTTGCCATGATTATGGTGTCTCTTAACAGCAATAGAATACTGACTAAGACAGAGTCTGACCTCACTTTTGTGGACTGACCAGGTCAGATCTGAATTTGTCTGTCCCCTCTATGATTTCAGCTGCCTTGACTGTGCCTTTAGTTTGTGTGGTGTCTATGACAGTTCTGCATAATAATTCTAATTCCTAGTTCCAGCCTAAAAGTCTGGTAACGTTAGGTAGATTATTCCAAGTTTTTGCTACTGTTATTCTCATAATTTTGATAAAGTATATATAACAAAAGTTAACATTTGATAATTTCAGTCACAATTTCAGTGAATTAAGCATATCCACAGTGTTGTATCATTTCTACCCATTTCCAGAAGTTTTTTCATTATCCCCAATGTTTTTGAAATATACAAAATCATAACATAGGTACTCCATGTTATAGGTTATTTTGTGTGTTTATGTTCTCAATATACTTTAGCAATTTTCCCCAACTAGTATAACTTACAACTTGTTTTAATGAAATGAAGTTTATAGTAGGGTCTTAAAACATAAACACCTGATCTTACTAAGTATGCCTCTAAAAAGAATACATTTTCATGCTCCAATATGCTATCTCCACCTTGTCTAATTTTAGAAAAGTACAAACTGCTTACTGTGCATTGAGAGGTACCATGTTCAATATATAGTACACATATGTATGAAAGCTTAATAAAAACATAAAAATCTTCTAGTCCCTGAAATAGGATGTGGACTAGAGCAGAGTATAAGAGTATATGATTAATTGGGCTGTAGAGGCTCATGGGCCTTTAACAATTCCAGTTCTATGGAGTATTGAGTCTCAGTTTCCTCATTAAAGTGAGTTCTAACTCAGAGTCTGAATTCAGGGTTAATGTATATGAAATAGCTAGCCTACCTCTGTCATATGTGATTGCAATGCTTGTCTAAAAGATACATAGACTGAAACATGAACATGGAGTTAGTGCATATATAGTATATGTATATATACTAATAGGTATAGGCTAGGTCTAGAACTCATGTGATAATAGAGAGGTTAAATACAAATCTATTTCATTCATAAAATGCTTTGTAGCCTTAAGAAAAGTGAAGTTAATTTTAACTCTGGATGTCAGTTACATTGATAACAGGATAACTTATCTGCTGTCCCACCAGGTATTCGTCTGGCTGGTAACTTAAGAGCGAGGCCACTTGCTCTTCATATCCTTGCAACTGTGCTACCAGCTTGTGAACCAGGTATAGAAGATGACCAAATGCCCAGGTTTGTATCTTTTAAGTTGTTGGAAATACTTTTCACATCTGCAATGTGATTTACCCCAAACTGAGAGTTGCCACATTCTCTTAAGTTGTAAATGTATCTTGTCTTCAGTAGCATAGTCTCCCTTTTTAAGATTGCTTTCGGCTCGGAGGCATCTGACGCCAAGGGTTTGCTCGCTGGATCTGAGCTTGGCTGAGGGATCCGACACACCCAGACACTGCCGTGGCCCTGGTGGCAATTCTGCTTCCATCCACTGGCCCAGTCCTGCCTCCCTCCACCGGCACTGGGTGGGTCAGGAGATGTTTCCAGTTCTGGTTCAGCGACCCTGCTTGGAGGCATCTGTCACCAGGGGTTTGCTTGCGGGATCTGAGCTGGGCAGTGGGATCTGACACACCTGGACACTGCGAAGACCCGGGTGGCAGTTCCGCCTCCATCCATGACAAGAGGACAGACATCAGAGTATTGGAACTGTTTGCATCTATCAGAAGGGAACCCATACCACCAGGAGAGGAAGAGACTCCTGCTACACCACCAGAAGAAAGGATGAGAAGGCCAGGCATTGGTGGTGCATGCCTTTAATCCCAACACTCGGGAGGCAGAGGCAGAGGCAGGGGATCTCTGTGAGTTCAAGGCCAGCCTGGTCTCCAGAGTGAGTGCCAGGATAGGCTCCAAAGCTACACAGAGAAACCCTGTCTCAAACCCCCCTGAAAGAAAGAAAGAAAGAAAGAAAGAAAGAAAGAAAGGATGAGAAGAGGTCAATGTAAAAGCACATTCAATAACAGAAAACCCAATATGACACCACCGGAGACTAGGAACCATACACCAGCAAGACCTGAACATCACAATGCAGATGAAGCAGAAGAGAATGACCTTAAAAACATCTTCATGAAAATGATACACGACTTCAAAGAGGACACGAGAAAATCCCTTAAAGAAATGGAAGAAAAAACAAACCAAAAAATACAAGACATCAACAAATCTCTCAAGGAACCAGTTCAAGACCTAAAAACTGAAATAGAGACAATAAAGAAAGCACAATCTGAGGGAATGCTGGAAATAGAAAAGCTGGGTAAACCATCAGGAACTACAGACCTAAGCATAACCAACAGAATACAAGAGATGGAAGAGAGAATCTCAGGGGTTGAAGACACACTAGCGGAAATAGAATCATCAACCAAAGAAAATCTTAATTCCAACAAATCCCTAACACAAAATATCCAGGAAATATGGGAATCCATGAAAAGACCAAACCTAAGAATAATAGCTATAGAAGAAGGTGAAGAAATCCAACTCTAAGGTACAGAAAACATATTCAACAAAATCATAGAAGAAAACTTTCCCAACCTAAAAAACCTAAAACTGTTTTGGGAGCAACATCCAATAAAATGAGGTCTGGTTGATTAGAACTAACCCCAAGATCCCAGCCTAGAGGGAAAAGCCTGTCCTCTAGGACTCTTACAACAGCTGGACATAGCAGGGGTAAAGTTAATGAACGCAGAAGGGAGGAATCAGGAAATGCCACCCTTATGTGCTGAGGCCCCTCCAGGTATTTATAGCCAGGACAAAGAAGCAGACAAACTAACACTTTCATAATTACAAGGCCTATGTGTTGGGAAAAAAGGCCCACAAAGCTAGCTGCTGTGCAGGGTGTAGAGATGGGGCTGCCTGACCCTCCTGCCTTCACTCACACGGCCTAGGAAGCTTGAGAAGGCTCTATTGAGAAAATGACATTGGAGTTTGAAGTCCGGGTGGAAACAACTAGACATGGGCTTGGGGGCAAGAGTTCCCCAAGGTGCAGAGCTCTTAGAAGGAAGAAGCTGCATGGAAGGAACTGAAGCACGTGAGACTGAGTCCCATTTGGAGCTCCAAGGCAAACCAGAGCAGGACCAGGATGATCCTATAGGCCATACTGATGAGGTTTTTTTCTTCCCTGGAAAGCTGTTTCTTATAGAAACATATAAAGCAGAAGGCCAGGGTGATGGTGAAGGTGGAGATATGGAGAAGAGGACCCCTCCTAAGAGAAAAGACAAAAAGACAGACAAAGCTGTCAATGAGGTGAATAAAAGGAAGGATAAGATGGTATCTGGTTGCTGTGGGAGTCGGCTTTACCAATGATGACTTCTTTCTCCTGGTAACTCAAAGTTCTGAGTAATTGTCTTGTCAACTGCTGGCTTTCAGTGTGAGAAATAGGGAATGGCCAGTCACAGACCCACTTTGTAATCCTCAATGTTCTCAAAAACATGAGGTCATTTGAGAGTGGGTGGCCAGGCAGAGGAAGAAGCCAGTAGGCAAGGCTGGCCAAGAGGCAAGGGCACTGGAAAGATTGCTGCAGGCAGGTATACAGCACGTTTCCCCTGTGCTATAGCCCTTTGAGCGTGCACATCTTGTCACTGTTAGCTTCTCTTCACATCAGGTTGCCGCAAGTCTTCAATTTGAACAGACCGTGATACAGCGCAATATAATAAAACACACCTGCTTCTCCCGAAATGGAGCCAGGAGAGACAAGGCAATGGGAGAGCAGACATGGGTCAAGGGGAAAGACTCTGGGGACCAGTGACCCAGGAAAATGTGGGGATACGGATGCTGTGAAGGAACATAGCCCACCCAGTCCTAGCCTCTCAGTGGACCACGGCGAGAATTACGTCTATCTTTTTTTATTATAAACGTGATGCTAGTGGAGATCTGGGAGGAGTCAGGAGCGAAAAACAAAGCTGTGCCTGCAGACACAGCTGCTAGCCAGGTGAAAATTGTCCTCCTTTTCTCCTCTTACATTTTTAATAGTACCATCGGAATTGTAACCCAAATACGAAGTTATGTTTTGCTTTTAACATTGAGATGGCAAATGAAAAAACCCTGTTTCAACCTCTTTTGTGTAAGGGAAAGACCTTTGAAAAAAGTTGCTTGGGTGGCGTTACTGATTACAACACTCAACCACCAGGGGGCTGACTAATTTCCCACTGCCAGTACGTTCGCATTTGGCGGGCACTGTGCCAAAAGCTGGATAACCTTTGTACTCCGGCATTAAAAGTGCAGGAGTCTGAGCCTCCGGGTGTGTAGCGGTTCTCCCGTCATGCGGTACTTAACGTGCCTGTTGCTTTGGGTGTTCCCGCGAGTCTGGGGGCAATGGGAAGGTGAGTAGAAGTGCTCTCACAAGGGGCTGGAGAAGGAGGAAGAGAGTGCCTGGCTAGTAAGCTCTGTAATTGTGGGTAGGTAGATGTGGGACTCTGGCGGGCTTGGGGCACACAAGTGGGAGGAACCATGAGTGCACCAGGCTCAGAGCAGTTCTGAACCATAGCCTGCGTCTCCCTTTCGCAAGCCCAGCTAAGGCTGTTCTAATTGTCTGCGACTTGGTCACTGGCTGTGCTCATTCGGTTTTCATTGTTTCCAGACCAGCTAAAGAATTACCCATTGCGCTGCCTGCAGATCTCTTCCTTCCCAAACAGTAGCAGCTTTCGCACAGATGGCTTGGCCTGGCTGGGGGATGTGCAAACGCACAGTTGGAGAAATGCCTCTACCGTTAGCTTCCTGAAGCCTTGGTCCCACGGCAAGCTCAGTGACCAACAGTGGCAGACGTTGGAGCATATATTACAAGTTTATCGAACCAGCTTTACCAGGGACATACAGGAATTAGTCAAAATGTTGCCTATCATTCACTGTGAGTAGAGGGATCGCACCCGAACAGGTACCCAGTGGGTGAGAGAGGCCCCAAACCCCAACTGGGTAACTGTGGGCCTACTTGATGAGATTCTTTGTTTTCTCTACCCGTATAATTTTTACTTCTGTCTAGAGAGATCCTTGTCTTTTCTGAAAATAGTCCCTGTTTCTGCTCCAGGACACCCTCAATTGTTTCCCTGATCTGGGACATAACTATTGTCTTCACATCAATTTCTTCCCCTTTCTTCCAAACTTCTTAATCATTTTTATATTCACCCTTCCTCTTTACAGATCCCATTGAGATGCAGGTGTCTGCTGGGTGTGAAGTGCACTCTGGAAACACTTCAGAAAATTTTTTCAACGTAGCATCTCAAGGACAACATATCCTGAGTTTTCAGGGAACTTCCTTTCAGAAGGCCCCAGATGCCCCACCTTGGACAGAGTTGGCCATTAAAGTGCTCAACACTGATCAAGGGACCAGGGAAACGATCCAGCAGCTTCTGAATGACACCTGCCCCCAGGTTCTCTATGGCCTCCTAGAAGCTGGGAAAGCAGAACTGGACAAGCAAGGTCAGCCTTCTCTCCACCCCCGTGTTCTCCACACGGGTTACTTTTGTGTTCTCTCATCACTGCAGGCTTTAGAGAAAGGGCAAGGCCTGGCAGAGGTAAAGAAGGCATGTGGAGTTTGTTCTTTTCACTGAGCATCACTCTTGGATTCTATGAATTGAGTTAAATAAACACTGGGGCCCAGAAGTGAGTCAGGCAGTGTTTGAGACACACTCTATCAGCTGAGAGTATTCTGGAGTACAGAGGACATGTGCCTCAGGGAAGGGGTACAAGTATCAGGGATGGTTCCTAGTCACAATGATACAAATGGATTTAAACTAACAGGCAGCATCATCCCCAGCCATGGACCTGTGGGAAGCATGAACTTGATAGGCCTGGAGCCTCTAATGTCAATGTTCCTGTTTTAAGGTCATTTTTTTCTTATTTTCTTGCTGGATACAGAGAAACCTGTGGCCTGGTTGTCAAGTGTCCTCAGCCCTAGACATGGCCATTTGCAGTTGGTGTGCCATGTCTCCGGCTTCTACCCACAGCCTGTGTGGGTGATGTGGACTCAGGGTGAGCAGGAGCAAAACAGTACTCAGAGAGGTGACATCCTTCCCAATGCTGATGGGACATGGTATCTCCGAGCTACCCTGGATGTGGAGGCTGGAGAGGAGGCTGGCCTCGCCTGCCGGGTGAAACACAGCAGTCTAGGAGGGCAGGACATCATCCTCTATTGGGGTAAGAGAAAAACTTGGCCTGGGTTGAGAGCGAATAGAGGTACCATTCAAACATGGAGTAGAGTTGAACAAACCCAATTTCAGAGATGAAACCCCTAACTATTATAGGAAAGATAGGAGGAGGGTATTCAAGATACAGAAAGAAATCCCCCCAATTGAGGTAGTATGTTCTGTATATAGGAAGAAAGGAGACCCCAAAATTCAAAAGGTCCAGAGGTAAATGGCAAAGAAGTGCAGAAAGATCCAGGACCCAGGACCCAGAGCCTGAGACAAAGATGCAGTATATGGAGTGCCTCCTATGTGAGCACTGGCCTATCTGCTGCCATTGTGTCCTTCATTTCATGACTTAGCTTTAAGCAAGTACTGCTATTCTGACTTTATACATGAAGAGGTCGATGGGAAGACAGGATAACCACCCAGAGTCACACAGAAAGATGAAGAGCAGGGAGTAGACAGATTCACATCTATCTAAACAGCATGCAGCCAGATCCTGACAAAAGATGCTCAGTCTAAACTCCTGAGGAATAAAAGATTGTAGTTTAATGAAGGAAGAAATAGTGGCATAGCTTCCTCACATGTGCTTAGAATAGGGAACTTGGAATAAGGATGGGTTCTAGTTTAGAGATACCTTGTATTCTTCCAAAGCAGATGGCAGACATTCTTCATATGTGGTTTTCATCATCCTGGCAGTCCTAATACTTGTGGTAGGCCTTGGGCTCGGTTTTGTGTTCATCTCCAGGAATCGGTGGTAAGTGTCCCTTCCATGTGTTTCTGTCCTCAGCATCTCTCCTCTATTCCCTCCTTTTCTTTCCTAATGGCCTCTCTCTCCTCACAGCTCCTATCGAAGCATCCGGTAGCTCCTCCTCACTATTGCCTCTCCTGAGACTCAGACCTTCCAGCTTCTAGGACTTCAGTCCTGGTCTGCTCAGGAAGAAGTGAAGAACAAATGAAGCACCCTTTCAACATTTTTTTAAAAAAACGAATTCAGTTTTTATTATATTGCACTTTTATGAGCCCGAGCGTGGGTTGGAACAAACATGATTGCAGATGCACATACCGCCAAGAACAAGCTGTGGGCAGTATTTTATGGGAATTGCATTGAACTGGAAAGCACAGGTCCTGCCCAAACAGATGCTTCAGGGTCTGTTGACAAGTGTAATGTCCAACATGGCTCAACTCTTCGGTTTTCAAGAAAACTAGGTGACATGCAGATTAAAAAAAGTAAACTCAAATATTTGCAAATATTGGCACTGCTTGATATCTTAGATCCACACCTGCTGGAGATGGATATAAAGACAACCCCAGGGCTTCCAGGTTGTGGCTCTTTAAAAAAATGTTTGTCCTAAATGCCATATGATAATTTTGGGACATAGTCTCTATGGTAAATATGCATTTATGACTGAAGGGTTTATTCTCTTTATAATAAAATTAGGAGGTCTCCTGAGGTTTGTTTAAGAGTAAATGTATTTTTAAACAGGAGAAGTCACAGTATATAACTATTTTGTCGAAACATCTACTCTCTTTGAGCTATTTCCCTCAAACACTGCTATAATTTGCATCTGGAGTGCACCACAACACCCCATGTATTGAGGGTCTGGTTCCCAACTCATGGCTCTATCAAGAAGCAGTAGTCACATTAGCAGATGAAGCCCAGTAGAAGGAAGGTGACATATTGGGTTCATACGGTCATAGTGATTGTGGGACACAACGTCCTTTTTGCAATAATGTAATTCATGACTTAGAAGGAAACTCAAGGATTTTTTTTTTTTTTGTCTGAGAAAGAAAACAGTAGGGCAGGCAAGCTGGAAGTGTGGGCAGCTGCCAGGAGGTGGGAAATGGAAGGAGAGGTTATGTCTTTAAGATCATCAGCAAAAACAAACATCTTGAATGACTGAGTAAACACACCAGTCCTCCAATCTGGGCATTTGTACCTCGAGGTTTTTACTGAAAGAGCATAAAATCTCGGGGAGGGGGGCAAGGTCCTTAAAAGCAAGAGCAGCATTTTACCATTTTGGGTTATCAGGGAGGAAATATTTAATATTATTTGGTTTAACCTTGCACTTTACTTAGCACTTCTCAGGGTGACCTACAACTTAGGCTGGAAGGAAGACAAGCTGCAGCAATTGTCTGTTTTGTTTTCTTTGAAGCTATTTAAAACCGCTCACATGGGTTTGTCTTTATTTGGAGATGAATTACAAGTGGCTTGTGGAGAGTTATTACTTCCTAAAGGGTCAGTGTTTGATTACATTCAGTTTAGCTATGGAAGCCCAAAACTTGGAAATAAATTAGAACAACTCGGCAATTTTCCATTACAGTGTTTTAAATTGTCTTATTTTAAAACTCTGTAATATCCTGTTTACCACAGCGCTTCTATTTATTGACAATATCATCTGTTTTAGAGGCAGTCAAAATGCTGATGTTTCTATGTCTCAAGTGATATGTGGGAAGTAGATGGCTATAGAGGGAATGTCCACTCTGTCTCTTCAGGTGGTGCACCCTCTATTGGTGTTTGTGGGGAAATAAGGGAGCCCTTGCTCTCTGCTCTCTCTTTGCTTCCTGGTTGCCATGATGTGTTAGTAACTTTGCCCCCCTACACTCCCCTCACCCTTTTGCCTCTCAACAGCAAAAAAGATAGGGTCAAAGTTACCACTCGAACCCCATGAAACTGTGAATCAAACCTTCTGTCTCTAAGCTACTTTTTCCAGAGATTTCTGTCACAGTGATGAAAATATAACTGACATAAATTGTCACAATTTTAGTTTGGAAGATGGTAGTATTAAAGGTATTATCTACCAAAACAACAACAACAACAAAAAAGTTGTATCTCCTTATAGATGCTTAAAAAGAAATACAGGGTAGTGTGTTACTACAAAGTAAGAAAGTCTGCATTACAGAACTTAGATGTTGTAAGATATCATTTCTTAGCTTAGGTTTGGTGGAAACTGGGGGTATGTTTATATAACACAAACAATTTATCCAATAGTCTATATGATGTTAGTTCACACTCAGAGGTAGGTAATAACTTGCCACTGATGGAACTAAAGATAACCCGAGGTAATCTGGCTCCCACCGTGTTGCAGTCCACCTCTAAATCACAGAAGGTTTTTATTAGTCAACCAACCTTATAGAATTTTTAACATAGGTACAGGGTTGTTTTTTCTTCTGTCAACTTCAGCGTATTAATCCAATGATGGGGATGTTCTTCAGTATATATGTTTCTCTTATTAGTTAATGAATACAACATGATTTGGCCAATAGGCAGGCAAAAAGCATAGGCAGGACTACCAGACCAGGAGAAGGCTGGGGAAATGAAGAGAGAAAGCCTCAAAGTGACAACATGTAGAGACTGGGAAGATGGGACGAGCCAGGCATTCTCTGGTAACATAAGGCTCGTAGAAATACACAGAATAGTAGTTATGGGTTAATAATTAAGAGAGAGCTAGCCATCAGTAAGAAGCCCTAGCTATCAGCCAACACTTTATAAATTAATATAAGTCTTTGTGTGTTTATTTGGGGCTAATGAGTTGCAGGACCAGGCTGGAAAGAAACTACAACAGCAATCCAATGTATGAATAGTGTGTCCACTGTTGTGAACTCTTCTAGCACAAGCAACTCAATTAAAGTCATCACATTGTTAGGTGTTTTCACTGTGTCATCCTAAAGAGATGCAGCAGGAGCCAAGTGCACTTTGATACTGTGAAATGCAACAGAGGTGCTGGAGGCTGCCCTCTAGAGCACTGCTTCACATGACTCCAGATGATATGCATTCTTGTGAAATGTTCTTTGTAACTCCTCCTTGGTCCCTGTTGTACTGGATGGCAAACTACAACATGGTATAATAACTAAGACCATCTAGGCCGTTGGGATTTCATGACCCTCTTAAGGTGAAAATCAGCACTGGAAGGGCTAGACCATGGCATTGCTGTATATCCTGTGCGAATGTCTGCAGGTTTCTACTGAAGTTCCCCTGATGACACTTCCTGAGGCCTGCAGGGTTGCTTTCAGGTCATCTATTGGCTGCATCCAGCTCTGACTAGGATGAAGCAGCAAGCTTCTCTACAATTCCAGGAACCTACCAGTAGCTTTCCCAATGAAGTCTTGAGCCCAGTCTTAGGGGAGAGTTCATCCTTCAGAATTGCTCTTCATTGAATTTTCTCCTTCAGCAATGGGGATTCACGTGGAGTTTCCTATTACCAATACATATTTAGTTACTATGGTTTAAGCATTATCTTAAACTTCCTCTATTTAACTCATGGGACTTATTTTCTACTGGGCTCTATCAGTACAGACACCGATTTGGTTGCCTACCTGAATGTGTGAATCTTCAGAACTCAGCCTTAGTGGGATTGGAATAAAAAACAAATGAGGAGAGGAGGAATGTGATCACAATATGCTGAATTACAAGTTAAAAACTGCCAGAAATTTCTATTCTGCCCTAGGAAAACATGTGGACTGGGTCAAAGGTTCTAGCCACAGAAAGTTTTAATAGCCAAGGTTGAACAACTGGAGCTAAGTAGGAAAAGATAAACTACCAGGAAGTTGGTCTGATTCAGTCTCATTTCTCATCTGTTGTCCCGCCTTTAGTACTGACAGTTACTGACAACCTCCTTGTCTCTGGTAGCTTGAATCCTGCCTCCAGGTCTTGTGTAGGTGGTCACAGCAGCTGTGTGTTCTTAACTTCGACAGCCATGGGATCCTCAAAAGACAACACTATATGGTATTCTTCTCTAGTTTCCAAGTCTCTCAGTCTTTCTGCTCCCTGTATTACCATGTCCCCTGAGCCTCAGAGTGGATGGGATAGATAGATGCCACTTAGGACCAAGCACTATGCAGTCCATTATTCTCCATATTTGCTCAAGTTATAACCCCCTGCTTTGATCATCACTCACTGCCATGAGATTTTTCTGAATAAGGCTGAGTGCTGCACTAGACCATATGTATAACATAAGAATCCAAAAGGTAGTGCAACTATATGTTCCTCTAGCAAACATCAGTAGTATATTTTTTCATATGGTTTATGACCTCTCTAGCCACCAGTGATTAACAGGTTTACAGTATTAGGATCTACATTCTCTGTCATGGAATGGGCCTCAGATCAAACCAGGATGCCATTTGTTATGCCTAGCACAGTTGTGGCATTATTCTACCCATGTGCATATTTTGTTTAGCATGTCAATATTATAGACTCAGGGTCCACCACTGCATTAAGACACTCACTATCTGAGCAGTTTGCATAGCACCTTCTAAACTATGCATACCCAGGACAGAAGACTCCAACTCAGTTTCATCTTGCTTTCTGTTATGTATCCAAAGGGTGTGTTGTCTTCAGTAATAGGATCTTACTCCCTACTTCTGGTAAGTAGCAAAGAGAAGTGACAATGCCCTCTATTGTTTTGGAGGCAGGAGCTCCATAGCTAACAAGCCATTGAGAGGTGTTCTATGACTGCTGCTAAGACTTTGTTTGGATTAATAACCTCTGAATTCAACATTACCTACCCATTCAGGGAAAAGCTATTCAAGCTCCTTTCTGTTAGGTTTTAAATATTTTCCCAGTGGCTGTTCTGGTTAACTTTAATATTCAGCTTAGCATAGCCTAGAGTCACTGTATTAGTCAGGGTTCTCTAAAGTAATAGAACTGATGGGATGAAAACTGAAGGGGTTCTATGAGAGTAGCTTATGGGCTGTGTCTGGGTAAGCCAACAATGGGTAAGCCAACAATGGCTGTCACCTGACAGAAAGCCCAAGAATCTGGTAGTCTTTCAGTCTATGAGAGTGGATGTCTCAGCAGTTTGCTGGAGTCCTACAGGATGCCTGGAGAACTGCTGGTTTTTAATCTAAGTTGGAATCCCCCCAATAGTAGGTTCTAAAATGAGTAAAACGATGTCTCAGAAGCAGGATGGGTGAATTTGCCAGTGAGAGTAGGGACAAGCAGACACTGCCCATGTTTACAGTGAGTTTTCCTATCTCAAATGACCCAGTTAAGAAATCTCTCACAAGTGTGCCCCGCAGCTTGATGTAGTCAGCTTGACAATGAAGGTTAGCCATCACATCATCTCAGAAGGGCTTCTCGTTTCAGGGATTACCCAGATCAGAAAGTCCTGTGGGAATATCCATGGGGGATTATTTTGATTGTTAATTGATGTAAGAGGACCAACCAGAATTAGGAGGAACAATCCTCTGAGTAGCTGGTCCTGGACTGTATAAGAAAGCTAGCTAATTATAAGACAGAGCAAGTCAGTGAGAAGCACTCCTCCATGGTTTCTGCTTCAAGATGCTGCTTGAGGTCCTGCCTTGACTCAATGAACTGTAACATTCACAACAAAATAAACTCTATCCTTCTCCTAAGTCGATTTTGGTCAGGGCATTTTCTTACAGCAACAGAAAGAAAATGAGAACAGCATCTTTTCCTATATGTTTGGTTTTGGTCGATCTACCCCTCTCATC